ACACTAACATCTTTCTAGTTTTCTTAATTTTTTTGTAAGTATATTTAAAGTTTAACAATAATTTGCAATGTTAAGGTTCGTTAGCATGCTTTAAACATATGGGTTAATTTAAAATACAGAAATAAATATCAAATGATATTTGATATCCAATAGTAGGAAAATCTTGTAAAGCTAGTTTTATTTAGATTCAGGTTGATTCAGTTTTGCAAATTTATTACAACCACAAGTTAATTCAATTTTGTAGTTTTATTTAGATTCAGGTTGATTCAGTTTTGCAGTTTTATTTAGATTCGAGTTGATTCAAATTTGCGGTTTTATTTAGATTCAGGTTGATCCGGTTTTGCAAATTTATTATAACCACAAAAATTGAATTATCTGGTTTTATTTAAATTTGGATTAAAGCCGGGTTTAATTTTGTGCAAAGATTAAAACTGGTTTCTATAAATAAAACTGGTTCCAATCTCTAGCTTAGATTTATTACTATGTGGAGGTTTATGTTTATTATCATGAATTTTTTTTAAAAAATGAATTATTAAAAAGCTTATTCAATGATATCTCAGATAGCAAAGATGGAATTAAAGAACATCTTTTCTTCTTGTAGTCACTCATGGTTACCGCTTTACTGAACAGAGAAGTCAAATATTACTGTTTTTATAACAGAATCTCAGATTACTCACAAAAATACTAAAACAAATTCTAATTCAATGTGTGAACACATGTTCAATGCATTTGTTTGATTTACATTGCATAACCTTTTAATTATTTAAACTGAATGGACAGTATGTTTCTTTCGAACGATACTATAAATCAGATCAGGTTTTCTGGTTTTAGATTTAATTATGATAAACACTTTCATTAACAACAACAAATAAAAATAAAAATAAAAAATGGAATACATGTTTTATTATGGATAATTATAATTTTGTGTGATATTAACACAATAGATATTATAAATTAAATTAAATTATTTACAATTAATTTCTTTAACATGGGATTACAGTCAAACCTCTTTATAATCACACATTTGGGATATGAAAATGTGTGATTGTAGAAAAGTGTGACAGTTATAGAGGTCAAATTTATTATATTCAATAATAGTTCATTTTTTAAAAAATATGCTCATAAAGAAAATATGCTTATATAGGAGGTGACTATAGAGAGGTCAGACTGTATTTCCATTCATCCCATAGTATTTCCCTATCTGAATTTTTATAATTGTAAAAACTATTTTCCTTCCATATTGTGGAATTTATTAGAGTATTGTCGGATGACCAGCATTCTAATTTTTCACCATAACAAGCTTGTTGTATGTCATGAATTTCTCTACAACATATACAATGATGTTCATTGAGATTAATAGGCGTTAGATCTGTTTATGTGGCATTTTTACTTTTGTAATTAGAAACTTTTAGTATTATAACCTTCAGATCCCTTGTTATGATACCTTTACAAGACTTTGAATGTTCAATTAATGCAGATTTGAGGTTGTTGTCCTTGTCGACGTAGAATGTGCATTTTTTCCATGAAAAAACCTCACCACTAGGTGAGTATTAAGCTGGATATGCAAGACCATATCAATATTGACATTTGCATGTATCTTTGTTTTTATCTTTATAAACTAATTCATATACATGTTTACATGAAGAGCAACATGTATATGAATAAATCCTCGAACATATAAAACATGGTTTATATTTATTCTATGTGACTGTTGTGAAACTGTTATTTAATTTTAAATCATTTACTAAAGAGAAAAGATAACTAAGATCGACTTTAGAATCTAGTAAATTCCTATTTTTACAATATTCTGAGACCTTGATAAAATTTCCTCTTAATGGTGGTGTCGGTAGAGAAGTGATAGTGAGACTCTTAAAAAAGATGAAAATAAAGATAATATATAAAATAATAATGCATCTTCCCTCCTATTCAAACATAATTGGAGAATTTCAAATAAATCATGAGTCTCGTAATCAGTTAAAGAATTAACGAACTTGATAAAATCAAGTTGGGAAGTTGAGAATGTGATTTCAGGCATTTTGAAAATTGGAAATTGTAGTATGAATATAGAAATTACAA